CAGTAATTCAACTCAAGTCCTGAAGAAGCCAGAGAATGAAAACAAAAACCCACAATTTAACAGATGAACACTATCTTCTACCATCAAGCAGATCTTAACATGTCTGTGTTCATGCTGGCTTTTAACAGATGAGCCGCTGCCATCAACAACGTCTACATCTGTATAATCATACAGGCTTTAGTGGCCTTGGGAATACGCTGGTTAACCTCTTTAAGTGTGGAGCTCAGGATAAACTGTATTTGTGCAGCTTTCTTTGATATTCAGGGTGTTGTAGGTATTTACTGTTAAAGTCAGTATTAGTGTCTGAATGCATTAGTTCACTGTGCTTTGGATGCACAAAACAAGGAGCCATAATTATGTGTGGGAACTCTGTGTAAACACAAAATGAGCATTTCATTCATCTCACTGAAGCATTTAGTGCCTGTAGGCCTTTCAGTTCCACCATACAATTAACTGGTCCAGGATTTAGAGCTGGGCCGAGATGCTGGCCAGAGCACTTCCTTTAACACTGATTATACTTTCAGACATGTTAATCACGGGTCCTGATGACTCTGCCATACATTTCTGAAGGGATTTCTGTCTGGATTTTGCATTGAATGTCCATAAATAACTTGTGATTTTTCTGGAAAGTTCCTGTGATCATGGAGGGTCTGCCTGTTCATTATCCTACCCAGCAGGAACCGCCCTAAAGTCGTGTGTATTTTAGTATCTATAAGGTTGGCAGCTTTGCATTGCAAAAGCATCTCAAAACATCCACAGTCTTCACTGAACAGGATTTTAAATTATATGATCGTAAGTAGTGTAAATAAAATATGCTTCCCAAACATTTTCACAGATAAAATCTGTGAAAATTGCGTTGAAGTTTGACTTAAACGCAAGTAAAATGGCTGAAGTCTCATTTTAAGATGATTAATAACAAAAAGTAACAAACCTGGAGGAGAAAACTCAGAGTGGACATAACAACTGGCAGAGGGCAGATAAGGACAACCAAGAATCTGACAAAGAGTAACTAAAAACTGGAAGATGCCACACAGATGATTATTAAATTTATTTTTATGTTTTCTATTTAAAACATGAACAAAAGTCTCTTTGCGCCAGATTTAGCATAAGCCACTTTCCATCTGCAGCACCTGAGCAGGTGAGTTAATAAAACTGTCAAATACTATAAAACATATGTTGAAAGTCTTCACACACCCTATGTACAATTAAAGTAAAGGTCATAAAATTACAACAATATAAATAGTACTAAATGCCAAACTTCTGCTAAGATTACAGTAATTACTGGCAGAAGTCGAGTTGATTGAATATACAAGACAAACAATTAATAAGCACAGAATAAGACAACACTGCAAGAAAAGAGCAAAGAAAAATAACTTTACAGGAAAATTTTGCACAAAAAAAACAATAGGTGATAAATTAGTTAAATATAGAAAACTAAATATGATTTTATTGTCTTAGGATGTAACCCTGCATAACTTCCTTCTTGCTGGGTTCATTGGTCCTCTAAGAGAAACTGAAAATAACTTTTCAGATTGTCATTTGGAAAACAAAACTGTGTTAGTTATGAACTAATTTGAGTTGATCTTTCCCATAAAATCCCAATAAAATACACTTTTTTACACAAAATGTGAAATCTTCAAAGAACCATGAATATTGGTCCAACACACTATACTTGAGGAAGGATTTTTTCACAGTAATAGTTGAATATTAATGATGTTAGTCACCCATACATGAGCATTTCATTCATTGCTCATTCCTTATTTTTAATTTTCACCTCTTCCCTTCTACTCTGCACTCTCTGGCACATACCTCTGAGACATCTGCAGAAAGGTTGGCATTAGCATGTGAAAGGGTTCATTCAGACAATGCTATGCATTATGTATTCCCTGCATTTGTATGAAATCAAGCTGCTGTCATTTTTTTGCCAGCCTGTAATCTTCTGGCAATATTTCAGACAAAGCAGGAAGAACAATCTGAGGAAGACGCACAGGCTACTCCTACATCTGCTATACCGTACGATGCATACTTGAAAAACTCACCATGTCCTCGAACCCGAGAAACATCAAATGTGAGGAAGTGTCACATCTGTCAGGATTGGCTGAGTAACTGTCTGCCAGAGAGACGCTGTGTTAATAAGGAGGGGGGCTGTTTTTCTTCTCACCCAGAGGCAACACAGGCAGCCAGTAAACACAGCATTTGATCCCAGAGACTTGTTGTGTAGTTGTCACTTTTTTAAATCAGCTCCTCTTCTTTCACCACCAGAGTGCATAAATCGTGGATTGTTGGGAAATGATTGTGACTGTGATGGTTTGACAAAGTGATGGTGGATAAACTGCCTCACTGGTTAGTGTTCAAATGTTACTCTGATCAAACACTTTATGAGTCTGCAGGAACGGTAACTTTTCCACACTGAGACAAATTAAAACCACAGATTACAGCTGCAGCGTGAGTCTGTAAAAACCTTTTCACTTCCTCTGAGGGCTTAAATGCACCTCTTCCGTCAAAAACAACCAATCAGAGCAAGGGAGAGGGTCTTAGCGCTGTCAATTAAGCTTGTGTACAAGCTACTAAATGTACTAATGGTGGAGAAACAACTTACCATTCGTAATGCTAACAAAGAGCTGCAGTGATGCAAACTTTTTGTCCTTACTGCTGATTGAATGCAGTGACTGCAGACAGACTTCAGCGGTAAAATCAGATTAAAAATGAAAATAAAGTCCATGCATCGCGTCCCCAGCTGGAGCTGCAGTGTGTTTACGATCAGGCAGAAGCTCAGTGGGGTTCCGGGTTTCAGACACGCTCTCAGTGAGAGCAAATACAGACGACTGATGTTGAGTTTTTGGACGTGATTGAATGTTCAGTTTCTCAGACTTTAAATCCTGAAGCCGAGGTTCCCAACAGAACTTTTCCTTTTTTAAAAACATCATCAATGTTCGTCGCTTCAAACGCGCCTGGCTTTCTGCTGCAGTTCCTGATTAAATCATTGATTAAAAAGCTTATTTAGCTCTTCCCTAGTGAGAATATTATGACATATCCTCAGACACAAACTTAAGCAAATTCTATGCTATATAAACATTATCCTAAGATATTCTTTTGCTTTTATATTGAAATCTAAAGAAACTTTTCATAAAGCACATCACTGAAGAGTCCCTTTAACTTGTAAAACATCCATTTCACACTTCATCAACATAAAATATACTAACAAACAAAATAACTGCTGAAGAAGTTAAAAGTCACAGAGTGAACTGTCAGCCCAGTAAGCAATTCAGTGCTTTATTTTCTTCCCATTTTATGGTTTTAATTTGATCACAATGACATGTTTTGATGATTAAGAGGCTAAATTATTTCAAATGCAGAAAGAATGCAAAAATAAAAATCAGCCCTTTTATTTGACCAGATTCCCTTTTTTAAGACCCAAAACAGTTTTGTACAGTTTAGACTTATTTTCACTTTTTTCATTAAAACTTTTGAGGAACAATGTGTTTCACTGATCTGGTCCTGATTTGCTGAATTTGTAGTAGATTTAATACTCTGCACTATTTTTGTGTTTGACAAGGATTTGTGAAGTGTTTTGCAATTGTTTATTTGGAAATACCTCAAAGAATGTAACATTTATTTTTGATTTATCACTAGTAAAGAGGGGTGCACAGATTTATTGGTGCAGATTTTTTTAATTTCGGGAGATCATAATCGGCCGATACATGCGAAGCCGATCTTACCCACTGATCTTATCTCCATCAGCAAAAGTCTAAAATGAGCCTCTGTTCTCTTCCTCTCCAAGGTTTGACTGACAAAGAAAATCATATTGACTAAAATCTGAATCAGCAGGTCAGTAATCAGTAATTGGCTGAAAAGCTTCAATCGGTGCACCCTGCCACTACATGAGGCAGGGCAACAGCTGTAAGAGCACAGAAAACCATTCAGTGATATGAAGTACCAAAGGAGAAGTTGCAGTTTGATCTGATAAGTTCTTGATTTATTTGATGTATCTTTCAGGCGGAAATTACTTGTAAAACCCCTGAGGCTGAACAGGTTGACGTTCCTCCGCTGCCTGTCATCAGGCCGTCACATCTCAGAGTAAACTTAGACCTCAGTGGCGGCGGCGGCGGCCATGAGGGCCACGGCGGCGGCGCTCCCGCCCAGCAGCAGCAGTGTTTACTCAGACGTTCAGTGATACGGGGGGGGCCTTCTCCAAAGCCCAACCGCAGCTTCATTCCGCGCTTCATCCCGTTCTGCGACTCGCTCCCAATTTATCTGCTGCACCAGCTCCAAATAGATCTGTCAGGCCTTTGAGCCGCTCCTTTCACTGCGTCCGCCTCATGGTGTCTTTTCAGCTGCAGCTTTCTGCTGCTGGTGTGCAGCAGCATGAAGCGTTTGCTTTTAGGATCCAGGGATGAACGTCTTCGTGCCCCTGGATTTTTGTGTCGCTACTAAATGTGTGTTTGCATGGCTATTAGTGAGGCCCAGGGAGGGCAGAGCTGCACACCCCGCTGACCTCTGACCTGCAAAGACACTAAAACCTAACAAGTATTTTGGTCTGGCTTCTGGTGTACATATCTTACTATAAAACTAACCAAAAAATTACTTTTTAGCATGTTTTAATATTGATTAGTTTTCATACTGATGCTTGTTTTAATTAAAACATTTGAAAAATGATCAGTTAAAATCTACCAATGGAACGAAAATGTTAACCAATAATTAAGTTTCTACATCTTACTGTAAAGTTACTTGTAAGTTCCTTAATATGAAATCTGCACTGACATCTGGACCAGAGTCAGTGTTAGTGTTTGATTTCTCCCAAACACACATCCTCATAATCTTTCCTTTCCTGCATTCAACTTGTGTTTACAGGAGACCAGAAAACTAAATGAGACGCATCATCAAGTCAAAGCTGAAACTAAATGCTTTGAGTTGCTTTTATTGCGGCTCTGAGTGGAGGCAGGATGGAGGAACATGGAGGTTTTCACAGGTCCAGCGTCTCCCTGGACTTCTCCTCCCTCATCACAGCAGAGCTGCTTAATGACAACGTCAATATTGATCACAGCTAAGTGAAGCTCTGGAGACGCTGTGGTTACTGGACCTGACACAGGGGAAGACATCCAATGATTTTCTTTTATTTAAACTTCCCCTGTGCATCCTGAGTGAAGCTAAGAGTCAGCATATTCTCCTCTTACCTTCCTCTTTATTTCCCTTTTCATTCCTCTCCAGTTGTTTTCCTTTCCTCTTTTCTTGCCATATTTTCCAGCTGTCAAGGTTTAGTTTGATTTTCACTGGACTGGATGTGATTCATTGTGATCCATACAGGAAGCAGAGACAAAGGAGAAATGAGAATATGGCTGGAAAATGTTGAAAAATTACTTTTCATGTAAGATTTTGGGAAAAATAAGGTGATTTTGTTGTTTTTGCAGCATCATTAATTAACTCAATGTAATTCCACAGTAACTTTGACTAGGTTGTTGCAAAACATGGTTTTTCCATAAATGTCTTGCAGCATAGCTGAAGTACCATTGAACTAATTGTCATTTCCCCTGAAGAGAAGAATTCATGTGTTTGTTATTTAGGACGAATCGTCCAGGTCCTGAAAAAGCCCAAAGCATCACACTTCCCCCACCGTGTTTGTTGCATCATGTTTGATTTATGAAGCGCTGTTAGTTTTACATCAGATAAAACTAAACCCAAACCTTACAAAAATTACACAGAATATTTTTTGTGGTCATTGTTTTGCAGTTGGACGGTTGTAGGATTAATTCTGGTTTCCTCCTGTCACGTGTCGTTGTGCCCTTGGGCAAGGCATTTAACCCCAGTTTGTCTATCGATCTGCATAGTGATCCAAAACGGTGAGTGTGTTTGTGAGTGTGAATGGGTGAATGATGAATTTGAGGGAGGAGCAAATGTTTTCGGAAAACATATGATTTTCTTTTAGGATAAATGAAGTCGACTTAAACCACAACTGAACAGTTAAACTAAATTCTAGTTTTAAGCACAGTTCAGCAGTGACTAGAGCTAAGGTACTATAGGAGATGATTATGCATTCATTGTGGTTGCATGAGAAAATAAAGGTAATTTTTAGTTCATAACAAACTGCACATAGAAGCAGAAAGTAAAGCTGAGTACATTAACTCCCGATTTGCTCTGCTGTACGCAGGCAGTTATCTTCAGTCCACAAAAGTCCTCAAACATACTTCTCCTCACGCCGACGATGCTGCACCTGGGTGTTGAACAACAATTATTGATTATCTCGCTTCCTAATTGGGCCCAAGTTAATTACTAGCAATTAAAATCATGAATGATGCATTAGTGGGGACACAATACACACTGCGGAGCGGCATGCGCACACTCGCATGTAAACATGCATACATTCCACCTCAACTACACAGCTCATTAAAAACACACTCACACAGGCAGACATAATTAAATTTTAAGTCCCTGACATTGCAACGCTGAACAGTGTAAACTGCCACTGGCAGTCAGATCATTTGATTTATCGCTTTCAGGAAGAGCCGCTTCACTTGAGGTTAAGTAACAATGACAAAGAGATAAAAAGAAAAAGTTGACTTTACTTTCTTCTGTGGGAAAGCAGGTTTTACCTGAAGCTACAGGGTTCCTGGGATCTTCTCTTGCAAAGCCTCACATTTGGCCTGATAAGCTCCGCTGCGTCTCCAAACCTGGGTCGCATTCTTTTTGATCGGGCCTGAAGTTCAGCCGAGCGTGATTTTCACCTTTTAGCCCTTCTGCTCTTAAGCTGGTCTGTGGAGCCTCTTCTCCCAAACCGCAACAACAGAAGGAAATGAAGGAAGTTCTGTCGACTGGCATCTTATCTGGTCAGGGTCAGAGCAGTGATCCCTGCAAATTAGCCTCTGATCACACCCAGCGTGTGTGTGTGTGTGTGTTTCCATTTTATCCTATACTGACATACAAACTAGGCTTTTAATTGATTAGATCCAATTTTGAATGAACTGCCTTACAACACAGTTCAAAGTTAGAACATTACATGAACAGAAAAGAGACGTATAAAGTAGATTTTTAGAAAATTCCATGTTTTATAACTCAAGATATTTCTGTTTCGCTGCATTTATGTGATCAGGACTTTAATCTTCTGAGAAAAAAGTCAAAATTCTCAGAAAAACGCCAAACACTATTAATGAATTACTTAAAATAAACATAGCAGTAACATTGTAATATTTCAGACTATTGTATCAGGTTGGACAATAAATCAATAACAGTTTTTATCACAACAGATACGTGATCAGCATCAATAGATAAAACGTCTATAATTCCACTGAACTCCAATTCAGAACTGCAATGCATGCTGGGGGATATAGGCAGAGGAAAGGCTTTAGCTGCTCAACCTCTCAGGACGAGCTAAACTAGCTCACTCACTCCTGTGAACCCACGCAGCAGCAGTTTCAGGTTTCACCGCTTTGCCTCATAACTGCTCATAAGGAGTGGATAAAACAGTTTGGTAATATTTCAGATATTTAATACAAAAAATAATCAGTAATTATCTATATCGACTGATATGAAACACTTGTAACAGTTTTTATACTTTGACTTAGTGTTTGTGTACTTTCTCCACCTCTGGTAAGATGTGAGGACAGGTTGGGGGCAGGACAGGGACAGGACGGGGGCAGGATGGGGGCAGGTAGTGTTGTCGAAGGGAAGGCACTGAATTACTCAAAGCTGTAACCCAGCATCTCCCCCCCAATAGCTTAATTATCATGTGCAGCCTAGTGGAGATGAAATAACGGAGACTCTCACACGAACACCCACACACCCACACAGGGAGGCTTAGTGGACTCCTCAAGCACACACACACACACACACACACACACACACACACACACACACACACACACGCAAATGTACAAATTCGAGGAGAGAGACAACATGGTCTGCTTTTAATCTAAGCTAATCGGTTAGGAAAATAAACAAGCTGGCATGGCAGACATCTATCTCTGGCTGAGGCTGGAGCTGCTCGATAAGGAGAAACAGACCTCTCAAACATGTGTTCTTCTCCTTACAACACAGCCTGCTTCTTGTTGGCAGGCTTAGGCTGTAATATGGGCCCTTTGGAGGAAGCGTTTCCAAGGTGAAAAGGTGAAATTATGGGGTGGATTTCGTCAAGACGCATCAATCACTCTTAACTCAGATCTATTTGTCTGGGTTGGAGTTACCCATCTTTACGGCTGTTTGAAAATTCTCTAAGAGCTCAGAAAGACATTTGTCAGATTGTCTGAAACTGATCTGTGAAAGTTGCCACATCACTTTACATGAATCTTTAATTAAGATAGAAAAGCCTGGAGAAAAGCTGAATGTTAGGTTCTTTTCTAAGCTCTTGTTTTCCAGCGCAGACACTGACCAAAACCATTCTGACTCTTTAAATAGCTCAAGTCTTTGGGGAGAGAAAACATCCACACCATCCATTCTGCATCAGTGGCAAATGGAAACACATAGGAGGGGATAAGTGGTCACCAGGAACAACCAAAGATGTGCAACAACAGTTTAATGAGGGTTTTTCTTAATGGAATATCAACACAGCGCCTGTGAGAAAATGGCTAATTGAGCCTGGATGTATGTAAACTGTAAGGTAAAATTCAATTCAACACAAAACAGATCAGTAATTATCAGCAGAAGGCTTTTGGTCCATATTCCACCTGAAACATCATCATGATTGTGTTGTGAATATAATAAATTAATAACTCCTCTGCTCATAATCAGAGGTGACCAGAGAAAAACTGTGATGATTGAATTTGTTGCTGAAAGTTTTCTGAAGCTGCTGCCACATCTTTACATGCTGAACTGGAGAAATCCACTTCGGCCCTCCGTCTGGATTTTACTCCTCATCCGGGTCACATGTCTGAAACCCGGCAATAGAGTCTAACGCTACGCTCTGTCCTCTGAGCAATACCACACTTTATTATTTATTTTACATTATGTTTAAAAATCCTAATGGAATTTTCTGAACCATTTGAAAGAAAGTTTATTAGTTTATTTGTACATGTTTGACTCAGGTAGTTTTTGTCTGTTTTTTCCTTCTGTGCTCCTAATTGCACTGAAAAATAAATGAAAGTTTGTATTTCTATTGGGCTGTTTTTCATATTTGACCAAGACGGGAAATTATTAGTGGTGCAGAGTTATCAAATAAATGAGTAATTCAGTACATATCAGTGTTTAAAAACTGAACTATTTAAATCAGCTCAGCTGTTTTTCTGGATCGGATCATTATCGGTCAATACAAAACCTCAGGTGTCGGTATCGGAAATGAAAAAGTACTCACATAAAGATCTACTGGGCTGAAGTACAGAAACATTAAAACATTCTTATTTGTCCCAGCACTGCGTCTTGCCCTCCTTCCCTCCCTCCTGCACCCGGCCACCTCCCCCCTGCTCCGTTCCCTCCTCACCTCAGCGCCAATCCCACCTCAGGCTGTGGGAATTTTCTTTAGTCACACTTGGCTTGCCAGGTAAACAAGCCTGAATAGGGAGACGCGAGCAGAGTCCATGGGAGCAAATAAAACAGGGGAGGGTGTAAATGGATTTATCACCGAGCCGCCTCACCCGCCTGCTACGCTGTCACCCCTCACATCCTCCACTCGCGCTCTTTCCTCCTGAGTGAGGTGCCACTATGCTAACTTGGCAGTCTCCTCGACAAACTCCAATCCAGAACTCTGGAACTTAAGTGCTTAGAGAGCTCAGAATCAGCGAAGTGGGGACTTTTTTTTCCAGCACTTTTTCCTCACTTGTCCGCACAGGATTTTTCCCCCTCCCTTACTGCTCCTCTCTGTCTGCTCCCATCCCTCTCTGCAGAAACTGAAGAGGTAATTCCAAGAGGCAGCTGTGTCAACTTTGTCCTCAGTTGGACTGTGAACGATAGCAGCGCACTACCTGTAAGCCCCTTAGCAGAAGCAAACGCACATTCCCCGTTCCTCTCCTCCCTAAACGATCTGCCGCTAATCCAGATCAGAAAGTTAAAAAGCAGGTCAAGCGTGAAAGCCTTATGCTGAGTAATGAGAGACAGAGCCATGTTGGGACATCTATATTTGCACGTATGTGCAAGTTTGAGTCCATGCGTGTGCGTGTGTGTGTGTGTGTGTGTGTGTGTGTGTGTGTGTGTGTGTGTGTGTGTGTGTGTGTGTGTGTGTGTGTGTGTGTGTGTGTGTGTGTGTGTGTGTGTGTGTGTGAGAAAGAGAGAGAGGATTTGAGGACACACAGAACACTTGGAGGATAAAATCCCAAAAGCCATCTGAGGCCTCGTTTTCAAAGGAGTCCTTCAATCCGAGGCCGGAAGACTGGACTTAGAGCTGGAGCACCGTAAACAGCAGCAGAGATGTTATTTTAATAGGTTTCTCTGCCAAAAGCAGCTTCCAGGGTTTGCTAAGAGGAGGAAAGGCGGAAAAACACGGCGTAATGTTGGGGTAAACGTCGCGGCGCTCGCACACGGTGCTGAAATCTGCAGCTTGTAGGAACGTTCAGGGATCCAGCTTTGGCTTTTTTGTCATATTTGCATATTTCAGTTTCCCCGATTGCTGTCAGACCTGCAAAATCAAGAACATCAAATATTTGGTGCAGGACTATTGAAACAGCGTATAAGTGGTTGAGTACTGATGGTCTAACTTTGAGTCTCAAAGCCTGCTGCACAGCAATTCCCCCGATTCAATGTATTTATCATTTCTTTACTATGAAATCAATTTGTCAATAGTTCAATACATAACAAATGACACAGTGGGTATTAATGACAACCTGGGATTAGGACGGATAATGCTGCTTCAAAGACGTATCGATCAGCAGAGTTCTTTGTTGCGAGGCGTTGCGTTCACTGAACACTGAGTGTGCAGTGAACCTCCTACCGCTGCACATCTCACCTCGCCTCCTTCTAACAATTGAAACCATAAGAACCTTTCATCCTGCACCGCACACTCTCTTTAGGAGCCTGGAAAAGATTTGCCCGAGTGCCAAGATGAGAGAGCGGGCTAATGCTGAAATGTCAGAGCATGTTAATTAACACAGGGAGCAATAACTGTGATCAAGGCTCCCTTGAGGAATGGAGGCAACGTGCAACCCAATCTCCCTGGGCTCTACCTCTCTGGATTGATTGGAAGAGATTCCCAGCTTTCAGATGCATGTGAACGGTGTCAGCACCAGGATATAAATTTGAGTTTATGTAGACCTTTCACACAGTCACTTCTAAGGTTGAACTGATCTGCCTTTGCTACACCTCAGTGTGTAAGATTCAAGCCTCAGTGGAGGACAGAGTTTGATCAACCAAACTCTGAGACAGTGGGTGAACCCAAGGTGAACAAGGAACCCAGCAGACAAGTCAGGATTAATCTGTGGAGAAGTTTAAAGCAGAGCAAAGTTCACCAATACGGCGCGTCTGGAAGAGCTGCAGAGATTCACAGCTCAGGTGGAGGAAGCTGACGACAAAATAGTTACAACGAACTTCATATGTGCTTAAAGTGAATATTGTGAGAGAAGTGCAGCCTGTCCTCGGCTTTAATGCAGGGTTTCACAGGTTTGTGTATTTGATGTGTGTCGCTGCGCTGACCCGTTCCTGAGTGGTCTGGTCTGGATCTGATGGACCGCAGCCTCCTCCCACAGGGAGGAGCGGCTCACGCGGTTTACATGCATGATAGGCAGAATCAGCCACAACGTCTGTCTAATCCCACAAAGTGGTGAAAAAATGTTACTGAGATTATTTAGAAACAAAAATCTGACCAGAATTATTTTTCATGCTACTTTTTTGGTTCTTCAAAAGAAAATTAAATGCATCTAGTTTCCTTCATATAATCAGGAAATGTCTGTCCATTGGAGCAAACTTA